CGTCGATATGTTTGATATATTTGAATTGGGCCTAAGGCCGTCAGACATGAATGATTGGGCCGAAGGCCGTCGGATACGAATGATTAGGCCAAAGGCCGTCGGACACGAATGATTGGGCCAAAGGCCGTCGAACACGAATGATTGGGCCAAAGGCTGTTGGAGATGAATGATTGGGCCAATGGCCGTCAGACACGAATGATTGGACCAAAGGTCATCGGAGATGAATGATTGGGCCAAAGGCCATCAGACATGAATGATTGGGCCAAAGGCCGTCGAATATGAACGATTAGGCTAAGGGCCGTTAGACATGAATGCCAAGATGGACCAAAGGCCGTTTGAATATGCCATTCGATATGTTGGAATACCGTGATGGGCCAAAGGCCGTTTGAATGAAAGGGACCATGATCATGAATATGAAGTACGCATGGATATGAATATAAAGAGAATGGGCCCGAGGCTGTTTGATACGCCTGATATGTTTGAATTGGGCCCGAGGCCATTTGATGTGTTCGAATTGGACCAAAGGTTGTTTTGAATAGAGAGTTGGTTGGACCTGAGATCGTATTGTTTTATATAAGGATTGGACCTGAGGTCATTGTGCATATGGACATGACGTGTTGGACCTAAGGTCGTTTTGCTTTGTTGAGATTTGTAAATCTGGTGTGAATGAGAATAGTGGTTCAAATATGTACATTATAAGCATGATTCATTTATGAACAAATCTCATTCATTAACCTCTTTATTTTGATATTATTCACTGGGCGTTAGCTCACTTTCATTTATATGTATGTAGGTGAGCAAAGGGACGTTCAACCCCAGCCTTAGTGGAATTTAAGAAAGGAACCCGAGTTTTGTGAAGTCAACCCAGGTGCCTCACGTAAGAGGCTCTGTTTGTGATCTTTTGTATTTCTTTTGCTACTTCTATTGCTCATGATAGACCATTTATGTGTATAAGCTTTTGGCATGGCTGACTATGTGTTTGAATGATCCTGGGTATACAAGATGTTAACTACTGATATGTGGTGTGAGTTATTATTAAGTATATGTAAAATGTTTTGATATGCCATGTAAGCACAGCTCTATGGACAAAAGTTTTAAATTTGTTTCTGTTTGGCCCCTTTACTCTGATGAGATATGCCTTGTTTGGTTTGAGGTCATAGGTAATTCCTTGATTACTGGCCGGTTATGACCTTAATCCATAGGGGCGGGTTCGGGTCATGACAACTTGGTTTCTCGGTATCCAACAATGAGGCAGAGTATGAAGCCTTTCTTGCCGGACTAAAGAGTGCTTTAAGAATGAAGGCATCAAAGCTTATGGTATTCAACGAATTGAAGCTGGTGGTCAATCAAGTCTCTGGAGAGTATGAGGCCAAGGATGAAAGGATGGCCAAGTATCAAGCGCTGGTTCGTGTAGAAGTCAAAAAGTTTACTGCGATAAGAGTGGAGCAAATTAACCGCGAAGAAAATAGTGAAGCCGACGAATTGGCCGGCCTAACATCTATGCAGACGACTTTTCCCAATCCATTGATGATAGAATTCTTGCCCCGACCAAGCATTGAGGAACCAGAGGCTCCTGAGGTACTCTGCACGGACTTGGGACCGTCCTGGATGGACCCAATCATCACCATCCTGAAAGATCGAATTCTGCATACTGAAAAGAAGGAAGCCAACAAAATTAGGGCCAAGTCAGAGCGGTTTTGGCTCTCTCCTTCTAGCTCCTTATACAAGAAGTCCTTTATTGGGCCGTACCTGAAGTGTGTCCACCCCAGCAAGGTTAAAGCTTTCCTTTTCGAGATTCATGAAGGCATCTATGGAAGCCATATCGGGGGCAGATCTTTGGCATACTGAGCAATCTCCCAGGGTTATTAGTGGCTGTGCATGCAGGCTGACGCACAGAAATATGTTCGCAAATGCGAAAAATGTCAAAAATTTGCTCACCAAATCCACCAGCCGACTAGAGAGTTGCTCTTCCTGACAAGTCCTTGGCCATTTGCGCTTTGGGGGCTGGACATTGTAGGACCGCTTCTAACCACTCTGAGCAACCACAAATTTTTCATCGCTGTTACTGACTACTTCACTAAGTAGGTTGAGGCCAAGTCATTGGCCACCATCAAGGAGAAAGATGTAAAGAAGTTTGTCTGGCAGAACGTCATCACTCACTTCGGCATCCCAAAGTCCCTCATTTTGGATAATGGCACACAGTTCGACGGAAAACTCTTACGCGGATTTTGCGAGGAGTTAAAGATTGAGTTTTACAACTCTATACCGGCCTACCCTCAATCAAATGGTCAAGTCGAAGCCTCAAACAAAACTATCTTGGACGGGTTGAAGAAGCGATTGAAGAGGGCCAAAGAGAGGTGGGCTGAGGAATTCCCCAATGTGTTATGGGCATACCGCACTACACCATGACACTCGACTGAGGAAACTCCATTTGCCTTGGCTTATGGCATGGAGGCAGTCATACCATTGGAAATAGGCCTGCCAACCATCTGATCTGAAAGTTTTAAACTAGACTTAAATAGTGAAGCTATAGCCCTGGAACTAGGCCTAATTGAAGAAAGAAGGGAACGAGCACTAATTCACATTGCAAATTACCAACAAGAGCTTTCCAAGAAATACAACAAGACCGTACATCCTAGGTTATTCAAGATTGGAGACTAGGTCTTGAGGAAGGTGATGGGCAACACGATAGTCCCTGGAGAAGGCAAATTAGAAGCGAATTGGGAGGGGCCATACAAGATAACTAGCCTTGCAAGCAAATGGACATACCACCTAGAGAACTTGGATGGCAAAGCTGTCCCCAGACCATGGAATGCAGCCAACCTCAAGCTATTTTACTTTTGAAATGTAATCTTTTCGACTTCTTTGTTTTTAAAACTTAGCCTTTTGCTATTGGACGTAATGTGTGATGTATAATAGAAAATAGCCCCTTCTTTTGTCTTACATTCTACGTTTCTGTACAAAGATATTAAGCTACTAGGAGTGCCAGGGGCAATACTCAAACTAGGCTGCCTTTGCCTACCATGCAAGCAGTTCTCCTGTTATGAGCTGATTTTGCTCATAATCACTCGAGCTGATTTTTGCTCGCCATTGTCGAGCTGATTTTGCTCATAATTTCTCGAGTTGATTTTAGCTCACCATTGTTGAGCTGATTTTGCTCATTGACCCAAGCTGATCTCGCTCGCCTAAGCGTCCCCAAACAGTTGGTATTTTCTCTAATTATAACTGCTTGTTCTGAGCTGACTTTGCTTACTTGCTCAAATAGTTTGTGTTTTTCCCAACTTAAGGTTAGGTACCGAGCTGGCAATGATCGTTTCACCAGGAAGAAAGTTGCTGTGAACGACTTTTGAGGTGATACCGAGCTGAGTTGGATCAATACTCCGAGTTGGTTTTTTGTTCGCCTTCTAGAAAGTTTGGGCTTTGAGTGACTCATGGATTATTTTACATTAAACCAAACTGAATTTTTTCTCGGGGAAAAGGAACTTTACATTTATGTGAATTCGAGAAGAAATCAGCTCAACTTAGAGTACTATAAGCAGATTTTCATCTCGGTTGCATGCAAATTCAGCTTGATACTGCTAAACCGAGCAATATGTATCTTAGCTCATGGACACAAAGATTTTAATCGTTCGAATAAATTGAAGAAAATGAAAACAACATGGCGAAAAAAAAAAACAAACAAACACACGACGAGCAAAAAGTTTATCATTCATAACAAAGCTTGATTACAAAAGTGGGGTCCATAGCCTGGTTACATCAAACACAGAAAAGAAAGACATCAGCCTAGTTGCGCCCTAATCAACATCTATGGTGTCTTCCAAATTGCCCACCACCTCTTCTGCTACATTTTGCGCGGTTTCAGTGCCAGAATCCGTGCCTCGTTTGTCGGCTGAAGGCTTCTGCTCGTTGCTCAGCGCCGCCTCTTCTGATGTGGCCGGCTGTGGGGTTTTGTGGGTTGGCTGAGGAGTTGGCTTATCTTTTGCGCTGGCTTCTTAAACGTCCTTTATCAACTTCTGTTGCACGGCGGCATCATATGCCTGTATATAGGGAGGAATGAAGGCATGTGGGGGGTTATTGAATATCTCGGACTCCAGCGTCTGAATGAGTTTTTGCACGACTGTTTTCTAGCCGCACTGAAAAAATATGTCTTTTGTCCCTGCCACCTGGTGCCCGTACACCCTTTCTCCCTCGGCATATTCCCGATCTTCAGCGTCATCCATTTCTTCTTTCAGCTTAGCAATGTGGGTGGCGCGGAGCTTGTGTAGCTCGGCCAAATATCGCTCATTTTTGGCCTTCACGGCCTTATTCTTCTCCTCCTCGGCCTTCACCAGTCTCTCAGCCACGAGATCCCACTCGGTCAGCACTGCCTCATGTGTAGTCTTTAGCTTCTCTAGCTCGGCTGTTTTGGCCTTGTTATCAGAAATAGCTTCCCGCAGATTCTGCCACACAGAAATCATGTTCTTGTGGGCTAAGTAGTTCTTTTGTGCGGCCTGCAATAGGGCAGGAGTTAGTATGAGAAACCGATGAATAACTTGAAGTAAAACCACTTGATTACCTACCAGAACGATTGACTTTTTTGCTGACCGAAGGACTTTCAGATCAGAAAGTTTCTCATGCTTCTTTATGTCTGCAGGGAGAAGTAAACCCTTGGTCATATGGAAGCCGAGTGAATGGTTCTTGTCCGCATAAATGGAATTCGCCATCGTCACAGCTAGGCCCTTGTATTTTAGTTCGGGTGACCAGACTAGATGGGCAGTGGAATGGGTGGATTGCACGACATGTGGTTGTTCAATCTGCTCTCCCTGATCAGCCGGTGACAACTCAACTGAATCTTTGTCGATAAGGCGCTGCTCGGTCTATTCCCGCCTTAGCCTTTTCTTCGACCGACCAGCAGCTTGCTCCTTGGCAAGAGCCAGCATGGGTCCTTCTTGCACGGCTAGCCTAGAAGTTTGGCCCCTGTCATTTTTGCCGGCTGTGAGTCGCTCGGCTCACCCGTGATCATGGACTTTATGGCTCAAATATTGGCCATTTCTTGTTCTTCTGTCAAAGGTACGAGTTTGATTGTCAGAAGGTTTGGATCTGGCTCTAGAGAAGGGGCACGAAGGAAGTCGGTCACCTTACTCTTACGCGGCGCCGTATGACGGTAACTCGGTTCGTATCCGAGCAAATTTTGAGGCTTTCGTTCCTCGACTGGTGCCGCAAAGTAACCCTTATAGCCTCTTGGTTAGCGCCGGAGTAATCGTCCGCCAAGAGTTTGTAATCTACAAAAGGAAAACAAGGGTTAGATCGGCTACAACAGAACAAATACAAAATTAAAACCGTGCTAAGCTGTTCACCAGCGCTCCCAAAGTTTTTTTTGAATGTACCAGCTTGGTATAGGCGCTTCGGTGTCCTCGTAATTGCCGGACACCCATAGGAAATCGTCGTTGTTTGTCTCTTTATTCGGGTTACCCTCAATGAGTTTTGCTGAGCCCTTCCTAACTCTGAGGTACCAGCAAAAGCCTCCTTTATTTTTACAAAGTGTATACAGGTGGAATATCTCGGCGAGGCCGAGATTTAAGCTGAGGATTCGGTTTAGCGCGGCCACGCCATTTATTATCTTGTATGTATTATTGGATACTTGGGCTGGGCATAGCCTAGTCTACCTCAAAAATTCGCAGATTAGGGGTTGGACTGGGAAGCGTAGGCCGCCTTCCACAACAGACACGACTGTGAAGGGGCATTTGTGCAATTTGCCCCAGGGAGTATCTCCTTCCTTGGCCAGCTTAAGATGGATGTCGTCTGGAATGCTATATTCTCTATGGAACTTAGCCATTGCCCCAGAAGAGTTGACTATAAAGTGGTATTTCCCTATCTATCCCGATTTTATTTTGTATAGTGAATTGACTGTAGCTCGGTCAAAATTGAGCTGCTCAGGTTATTATTTGCTCGGTCTTTGAGCCTCGTCGATGTGATGTTGATGTTGATGTGTGCCTTGTCGGTCCTAGTTCTGTATTATTAAAAATAAGTGCAAGTGTTAGCACGACAACGAGTGCACGGTTCTCAAAAGCTTTCGCGTACTAAACTTTCACACGGTTTGGGTTTTAGACCGGTTGTGAAACTTAACATGTTAGGCCCGTTTTTTTCCAAGTCCTAATTACCTGGCACTTATCTCGGCTAGATGATCCACTAAGTTTTCGGCGCAGACATTGTCGCTTGGAAGGTCCACAAACCACTTTCAGCTCGGCTCAATCCTATTTGAGGATCTAGATTGGGACCTAGCTCGGTTTTTTTCCAGAAATCAATCTGTTCATCCTAAACCCAAGGCTACACACAGAAGCTAAGAAAGACAAAGGGCACGATGGCCCCACGTGTGTTCTGGGTTTCAGTTTTGCCTAATTTCTATGGATGTCTATGATTTGCTCCATGAGAGGAGCATTGGCAGCATATCAATAGTCCTAAACGAAGAAGGAAAGTGAAGAACACGAAGAACACAAAAATGATGATAAAAGTAAGAGGGACTTACAGATTTGAGTACCAAATCAAGCTCCAATCTACCTCAACCTTTGTTGTGATGCTTGTTGAGATGGAAAACCCTGAAAATGGTGCAAGCAAGAGCGACAACAGTGATGACAATGGTAGATAGAGCATAGACTCAAAGGGTTTAGGGTTTTGCATGAAGTAGATGAACAATGATAAGGGAGGAGGGGCAGACCTTTCGTATATATGAATAATGGCGAAAGGGTGCCAAGTTTTTGAATTTCATTGATAGTGGGACAGCTGTAGGGATGCACGACACCAGTCAGAGAAGGCCACGTGGCATTGAAAAGATGGTTTATCAGTACAGCTGATTGATTGATAACAAGATAACCGATGCAAGCCTCAATGACCGACAAAATCGGATAGCTCGGTCAGAATAGTAATCCCAATCACGCTCGACTCGGACGGGATTAAGGGACAATTGAGAGAGAGATTTGCGTCGAACAATTGGCCGAGCTATACCAACACTGAACATGGTATTGGGCTTCAAAGGGAGAGCTTGAAGCTTTGAGACCAAATTGGATTCGTGCTGAGTGCGGCAGAACATCGAGTTAGGATTATTCGAGATATACTTGGCCGAGCTGAGGCAAAACACGTTGTCAAACCAAGCTTGGCCCACGTGGATTATGGTGTTGGGCCGAGTTTGGATGAGAAGGCCCACAGATCGGACTGCAGTTTTATTTGACTGAGTTATAGGTGGCTCGGACCACAAATGTAAAGATAGGTGATCCACGAGGGCGTGGTGTGATGCCGAGATGCCGAGCGGCGCATCCCACGGCTTGCCGACTTTAATGGATTGGTTTGATTTTGCTCGGCTGTGGCTGTCCATTATAGTGGCTGTCTCTCCAAGTAATAGCTCGGTTGGGTATGCCACTTGGACCAATGGTAAGAAGAGGGAAATCCACTCTTGGTATGCTTCAATACCGTTTGGTGGTTCGACAAACATTGTTTGAAGGTTTTGGTTTCTACACGTGTAAGAAAGGTAGAGGGGAGCACAGTCGCCTGCCTAGAGAAAGACAGTAGAGGTAGTGCGCCCACAATCTCTGAGGCTACATGGTCAGCCTTGAAAAAGAGCAGCATGCAAACATTAGTGGTAAGCAATCTGAAAGAATTTCCAATTCTCTCTCTCTCTACAGTGCTCTCTTTATTCTTCTTCTTCTCCAAGTGTGCTGACTTGATCGTCGGGGGGTTTATCCGGTAGCACACCGTCGGCAGCTCACCCTCTTTTTGTTATCAGGATAAGCAAGGCTATGTGGAGCTTGGATTCAAAGAGTACGGAGAACGAATAATATTTCCTTCCAGCACAATATTATACCAAGTTTTTAGTATTTGCTTTTTGTTTGACACCTTAAAGATCAAGTTAGCAAAGTGGCACAAAGGTTAGATATATATATATATATATATATTTTGAGGGGTGGGGAAGAGACATTATTTAATGCATACACAGACGATATTGTATAGATGAAAATATAATAAAAATAGGAATATTTTCATGATATCATAATCAGATTATGACAAATGAGATATTACTATTTCTCCTGAATTCTATTATAAGCATAAGTTTTGTGCACTAACTATTATCTTTTTTATATTTTACTTGAGCATAAAAATAAATATTCATGCATCAGTAAAAAGTAAAGAGAATAAAGAAAGTTGGAATTTCATGTTTTCAAGATCAAGAGTTTTTAAAAGGGACCCAACCCAAATAAGAAAGGCCAGGGAAAACTTTTTGAGATATAGACCTTTTCGAACTCACCCTCACCGGCGACCCAATACTGGCGGCAACCCACTCTCGACGCTGTTGCAGATCCGACGATGGTGACCCAGTCTCGACGCTGTTACAAATTCTGTCTACTTGGAAAACCAGAGCCGTCACGTGTTGGGTATACCTCCTTACTGGAGTTTGGAACCAATCGATTTGTTAAAAGAATTCTAATTTAGTTTGGTTTGGGTATAATATATATTTTAATATATTACATCTAATTTTTAGAGACCCAATTCAATTTGGATACAACTAGAGTTTGATAAAACAAACTCAAGACTCCACCACACACACACACACACACACACATATATATATATATATATGTGGCTTTGTTTTTGTGTAATCCGAAGAAGGCAGCATAGTGCTTCGTGCAAATTGATTCGATTGGTGAGAAGTTTTGTTGAGAATTTGACTTGGTCAAATTCAAGATTGGTGCCTTGGTTGCTGCTCTGTTTTGAAACTTTTGGTTCGGTGTTCAGTATTGATTTGGATTATTATTTTGGGTCTTCTACAACTCTAGTTTTGAACACTTTTGTTCATCTATTTGGTGAGGTTTTTTCTCTTGTTTATTTGTGATTATTTGGAATTCACCTAAGGGTGGTTTGTGAAACCATTCGTGTCTCGTTTGTAATCGTTTAGAAATTTTTTGGTTGATAGTGGAATCGGATTTTGATCCCGTGGACATACTTCACATTGAGGGAACCACGTAAAATTCTTGTGTTGTTTTTTATTTAATTTTTTCACATTAGTTTTTATTCCCATTGATTGATTTACTTGTGGGGAATCACATATTTTTCCTAATAACTGGTATCAGAGCTTACGGTTTATTTGTGTCTATTTATTTGTGTAAATCAATGGAGGGGAATGTGGATCGTATGTCTAGCATCAATGGAAGCAATTGGGTAACTTGGAAAACTAAAATGGAGGACCTATTATTTTGTAAAGATTTGCATGGGCCTATTGAGGGTGATAGTGGCAAAGCCAAGGGTATGGAAGATGATGAATGGAATAGGCTTAATCGAAAAGTCGTTGGTGTTATCCGTCAATGGATTGATGACAGTGTGTTTCATCATGTTGCTACTGAAACTTCGGCACATGATTTATGGAAAAAATTAGAGAGTCTTTATGATAGAAAATTAGCCACAAATAAAGCCTTTATGTTTCGTAAGTTGGTTAATTTAAAATATAAAGAGGGCAGCCCTATTCCGGAACATCTGAATGAAATAAAGAGTATTGTTAACCAACTGGCTTCTATGAAAATTATTTTTGATGATGAGTTACAGGCTTTGATGCTACTTAATTCTTTGCCCGAAAGTTGAGAGACTTTGGTTGTGACAGTTAGTAATTCGGTACTTGATGGAGTTGTCACAATGGGCTAAGTCACTAGTAGCTGTTGAATGAAGAAACTAGAAGAAAATCAACCGATTCCTCTCATTTGGAAGCATTTGTTGTGAGAGGCTGAAGCAAAACGGGGGGAGGGGGAGGAGAGTAAGACTTCTCATGGTCGTAATCAAATCCGTGACAAATCAAAAGATAGTTCTTTTTCAAAGAAAAACATTGAGTGCTATTATTGCCATGAGAAAGGGTACATGAAGCGACAATGTCAAAAGCTTAAGAATAATGAGAAAATGCGTGACAAAAGTATGGACAAGAAGCAAGAAGACACAACGGCAGTTACTACCGATGATCTCATGGTCGTTTGTGAAAATGATTATATCAATTTTGTGGGCCAAGAGAGCAATTGGGTGATTGATTCCGGTGCTTCTTTTCATGTGACTTCTCGAGTTGATTTCTTCACTACCTACACCAAAGGAGATTATGTTTCTGTTCAAATGGGTAATGATGGTTTGTCCAAGATTATCGGCATGGGTGATGTTTGCTTGAAAACAAATTTGGGTTGCAAGTTGTTGCTTAAAGATGTGAGGCATGTTTCCGGCATTCGCCTCAATTTGATCTCTACTGGGAAGCTAGATGATGAAGGCTTCAACAACAAATTTGGTGATGGAATATGGAAGCTCACAAAGGGTTCTTTGGTGGTGGCTAAGTGCAAAAAGACTCATACACTTTATTCGATGCAAGGAAAAATTTGTAAAGGTGTTGTCAATGCACTTGAAGATGATACTTTTATCGAATTGTGGCACAAGCGGCTTGGCCATATGAGTGAAAAGGGACTACAAGTTTTGTTCAAGAAAGAGCTTCTACCCAGTTTGAAAGGTACACATCTCAAAACTTGTGTTCATTGTTTGGCGGGTAAACAACATTTTAAAAGTTAGAACACATGGTGGTGCACTTTATTTTGTTACTTTTATTGATGATTATTCAAGGAAAGTTTGGGCTTTTCTACTAAAAACTAAAGATCAAGTTCTAGAATTATTTAAGCATTTTCAGGCCATGGTTGAAAGAGAAACATGGTAGAAATCGAAGTGCATCAGATCAGACAATAGTGGTGAATGCATTGGGCCATTGGATGAGTATTGTCGCAGCCAAGGCATTCGGCACCAAAAGATAGTTAAGAAGACTCCTCAACAAAATGGCGTTGCCGAGAGGATGAACCGCACTATTGTGGAAAGAACAAGGTGTTTGCTTTCACAAGCTAAATTGCCAAGATCCTTTTGGGGTGAGATAATGAGAACAGCGGTTGACGTAATCAATTTGTCTCCTTCCTATCCTTTGAATGGTGATGTTCCAGAAAGAGTTTAGACCGGTAAAGATGTGTCTTATGAGCACTTGAGAGTGTTTGGTTGCCGAGCTTTTGTTCACATTCCAAAGGATGAGAGGTCCAAGCTTGATAGTAAGTCAAGACACTGTATTTTTCTTGGCTATGGGCGTGATGAATTTGGGTATAGATTGTGGGATCCGATCGACAAGAATGTCATTTGAAGCCGTGATGTTGTGTTTCTTGAAGACCAAACAATTGAAGACTTTGGCAAAGGTGATCAACCGGAGTCAAAAGCTAGTGATCTCATTGACATGGATCCATCTCCTTCATCTTTAGTTGATGATGAAAATGGGGGAGATGTGCAGCCACATGTTGAAGATATGGAGGATGATGCTAATCCTAATGAAGTTGAGCCTGAAATTGAGGAAGAGCATCCAACTCAAGAACCGCTACCACAACTTGAGTTGAGAAAATCTACAAGGGACTGACAACCTTCAAGAAATTATCCTCCTAATGAATTTGTGTTGATTTCCGATCAAAGGGAGCCTGAGAGCTACCAAGAAGTAATTGAGCATGCAAAGAAAGATGATTGGAAGAAGGCAATGGAAGAGAAGATGAATTCCTTACTTGAAAATCACACTTATGATTTAGTGAAGTTGCCTAAAGGGAGGAAAATTCTGAAAAATAAGTGGGTTTTCAAATTGAAGAATGATAGCAAGAATCTAATGTACAAAGCACGTCTTGTTGTGAAAGGCTTTAGGCAAAAGAAAAGTACTGACTTTGATGAGATTTTCTCGCCGGTTGTGAAGATGTCTTCTATTCGGGTTGTACTTGGCATGGCTGCAACTATGAACTTTGAAGTTGTGCAACTTGATGTGAAGACCGCATTTCTTCATGGTGATCTTGAAGAAGAAATTTACATGGAGCAACCAGAAGGTTTTCTGGAGAAAGGGAAAGAGAAATTTGTTTGCAAATTGAAGAAAAGTTTGTATGGCCTCAAGCAATCCCTGCGACAATGGTATAAAAAATTGACTCTTTCATGATGAATAATGGCTTTTCTAAAACCACTTCGGACCATTGTGTGTTTCTGAAATTTTTTTCTGATGGTAAATTTATTATTCTTTTACTTTATGTTGATGACATATTAATTGTGGGTCAAGATTCTACCATGATAAATATGTTGAAATTGGAGTTGAGCAAGTCTTTTGCTATGAAAGATTTGGGACCGACAAAGTAGATACTTGGTATGAAAATTGTTCGTGATCGCAAAGAGGGGCTGATTTGGTTGTCTCAAGAAAGCTACATTGAGAAAGTTCTTGAGAGGTTCAACATGGATAAAGCAAAACCGGTTGGTTGTCCACTTGCGAGTCACTTCAAGCTTAGTTCAAATCAATGTCCTACAAGTCAGAAAGACAATGAAGATATACAGAAAATTCCTTATGCTTCAGCGGTTGGTTATTTGATTTACGCCATGGTTTGTACAAGGCCGGATATTGCTCATGCCATTGGTGTGGTGAGTCGATTTCTCTCTAATCCGGGTAAAGAACATTGGGCAGCGGTAAAATGGTTTTTAAGATATCTTCGAGGGACTTTGAAGGTGTGTTTATGTTTTGGGGATGGTAAGTCGATGCTTGATGGGTTCACAGATTTTGACATGGCTGGTGATGTTGATTCAAGGAAATCTACTTCGGGGTATTTGATGACTTTTGTAGGGGGAGCTGTGGCATGGTAATCTAAATTACAAAAATTTGTTGCTCTCTCAACTACCAAAGCTGAATTTATTGCCATTACGGAAGCTTGTAAAGAAGAGTTATGATTGAAGAAATTTTTGCAAGAGTTGGGTTTGAAGCAAGAAAAGTATGTGCTTTATTGTGATAGTCAAAGTACTATTCACTCGAGTAAAAATTCTACTTTTCATTTGAGATTGAAACACATTGATGTGAGATACCACTAGATTCGTGATGTGTTAGATTTGAAGTTGTTGCAACTCGAAAAGGTTTACACGGATGATAATATTTCGGATATGTTGACTAAGACTTTGTCGAGGGACAAACATTTGAAGTGTCAAACTTTGGCGGGTATGGTTGATGTCTCCACCTAAGTTGGTAGGGGGAGAATTGTTGGGTATACCTCCATAGTGGAATTTGGAACCCAATTGGTTTGTTAAAAGAATTCTAATTTGGTTTGATTTGGGAATAATATATTTTAATATGTTATATCTAATTTCTAGAGACCCAATTCAATTTGGATACAACTAGAGTTTGATAAAACAAACTCAAGACTTAACCACACACACACACATATATATATATATGTATGTGGCTTTGTTTTGGTGTAATTCGAAGAAGGCAGCATAGTGCTTGGTGCAAATTGATTCAATTGGTGAGAAGTTTTGCTGGGAATTTGACTTGGTCAAATTCAAGATTGGTGCCTTGGTTGCTGCTCTGTTTTGAAACTTTTGGTTCGGTGTTCGGTGTTAATTTGGGTTATTATTTTGGGTCTTCTACAACTCTAGTTTTAAAGACTTTTGTTCATTTATTTGGTGAGGTCTTTTTTCTTATTTATTTGTGATTATTTGGAATTCACCTAAGGGTGGTTTGTGAGCCCATTCGTGTCTCGTTTGTAATCGTTTAGAAACTTTTTGGTTGATAGTGGAATCTGATTTTAATCCCGTGGACGTACCTCACATTGAGGGAACCACATAAAATTCTTGTATTGTTTTTTATTTAATTTTTTCACATTAGTTTTTATTCCCATTGATTGATTTACTTGTAGGGAATCACATATTTTCCCTAACATCACGCTCTTCTCCTCCACCTCACTGAACTCGTCGCATCGGCAGACCCTCTCGACGCCGTTGCAGAATTCTATGTCTTGTGAAGAGACTTTAAGTGTTCCAAACAATAGTGGTATTGATTTGTCTGGGGCATTTGAATCGCTCTTTGGTTTTGAGTCCTTGGACTCGTCAAATTCTGATTTTTCTCAATCTATGTCACCTGAGGCTAGTCTTCTTCAAAGGGAAAGTAAACCAGATCTTAGTATGCATGTGCCATTGTCAATGCTTGAGAATTGGTTGTTTGATGAAGGTGTTGTTCAAGGGATCAAAGAAGACTTGATTGACTTTTCATTTGATGAAACTGCAGAATTGTTTTAGAGGAATTAATTCTTATTTTGGGCTTTTTTAAAAAAAACACTCAATTTGTATCTTTTGTTGCTTTTTTAGTCTAGGCCTTGACATGAAGAGTAATTTTATGGTCTAATAATTATTTAATTGTTAAGCATTTTAGTGCTCATATAGCGCTGTGAAATTGCAAATTGTTAAGCAATATGCATTATATATGTATAAGAATAAAATTCCCTTTCTCTTGATTTTATTTTCTTAGCTTTCAAAATCTTGATTGGGATCATAAAATAATATGAAATGTGTGTTTATCTCTGAAAGATTCAAAGACTAATTTATAATATCCAGATTGATTCTTGAAAGATTCATAGATACTATGGATTGAATACGAAACATGCTAGTAAAGAAATGTTGCCTTCAGATACTTGCACTTAATTCCCTTTCTTAGCATTGATCTTTATGTCCTCAATTTTTTATTTTTTATTTTTTATCTCTTTCAATTGTGTTTCGAGACTTTTAAATCTAATATAATAGTAATTAATTAAGAGTAAGAGATGTGTTGGCAAGCACCATCATTTATAAGTATTCTAATTTCTATCAGTTTTTTGAAATCCTGACTTCCCCAAGATGCATATATAGTTCCTGAATTTTACAGTTATCTTCTTGAGTTTGTTACAATGTACCAACTTGTCATAAATCATAATCCAAAGCAATGATTTCCATAGGATAAATTTCCAAATAGCAAAATTACCTATGAAAAATAAAGTAAGAAAAATATTTAGAATTTAAAATGTGTATGTATTAAGGCCATGTTTATTGGAGCAAACTAGATTAGATAGGATTAACATTATTAATCCCTTTCTCCACACATTATCTGTACAGGGAGCAAATATTCCGCGAAGCCCGTACTCCTTTCGTCCAAGCTCCTTGTCTATCCGATCGACCTGCGAACACAAATGGCGGTGAGCTACCCGGCGGTGTTTGGCCGGAAAATCCCTCCAACGGTCATGTTAGCGCACACCCTGGGAAAGAGAGAGGAAGAGAGATATATCACAATGAGTGTTTCTCACCAAATGATGTTCCATCCCCAGCATGGGGGGCGCAGTCATGCTTATATACTTTCTGCGCTCAATTCTGCTTCCACTAGTCTGTTGACACGTGGAGCTGCTCTCCCATCTGTCAGCACAAATCTAGCTAACACCACTTAACCAAACTGCCAAACAACATTAGCGGGAACTCGGCAGCCCGGCGGCATCACCTGGGCTTCACACGACTAGGCTGCGTGACAAGTCCGAGTAATCCGCTCGCCGAGCTCTATAGCAAACGAGCTCGGTAGCATTCCGTTAGAGCTAAGGTCAAAACAGGTCGAGTCGGTGAATAGAAGGCCTTCCCGCCGAGCTAAATGTGCGATCCATGAAACCCGGGTTGGCAGGAGACCATCTCAGCCAAGTGAACTCAGCCCAAACACGGAGCTTGAACGTCGGCCGAGCAAGACCGACTCTGGGCATAGACAAGCCCAAGTAGCTCGGCCCTAACATGTTCTTGGGTCTCGACCGAGCAAGACCGCCTCTAAACAGGCTAGGTTAGCTCAGCCCAAAACATACTCGGCCCCCTTCTGTCTGGTCTCTACCACGGCCCAAAGCCATATTTATAAATCTCTCTCTCAATTGTCCCTTAATTCTGTCCGCGCAAAGCGTGACTGGGATTACATGATCCGACCGAGATAGACTCTCTCGTGGTTCTTAGTTCGCAAGACGTCAACCGCGCTAATCGATATGCTCGGTTTCTTGATTTGCTTGGTCGGCGCCTCAACTCGCCTTACTGTCTCTTCAATACTGACGCCGCTGTCAATTGGGACACGCGTCGATCATTTATTGGCCTCGAGCAGCCAACCCAGACGTCTCTCCATATTCAAAATTTTGGCGGTTCTTTTCTCCTATAAACACGCCATATCCCCCTTTCATTTTCTTCTTACTGTCTCTCCTCCATTATAGACGAACCAAAGTAGAAGTGCCCCTCCTCTCTATCAAACACCCTCCTGGCCCTGGACTGACTTCGCGCTCGAAGATTCGACCGTCATCCTCACTCTGGTAAGTCCTTTGAATCACTTCGTTGCTCTTTCGTTTGATATTTCACATTCTAGGGTACAAAAGCCATAGGTTTTAGGATATATCCCTCCAAAAACCTCATCTGCCCCTGCTCTCTTTGCTGTTCTTTAACTCCAGTGATGAACACACGAAGATCTGGAGCGGACTGGGCTCCAGGTCTTCTTTTGAGCCCAAGATAAACCTAAACCGAGCAAATTGCGTGTTTTGCAAAAACTCTTGTAGGAACCGAGGTAGGCAGAATAATTGAACGCTCGATCTGGTTAACATTTGGTCCACTTTAGCGGCCGAGTTTATGGATTTACCTTCGTGACCGAGGTGGTCTGGCACTCTATCTGACCGAGCTAAAGTCAAAGCTCGTTTTGCGCGACCGCGCTTCCCTTACACTTACACTCCTTTTCTTGCAGAGTCCAAGGGGACCACGCACCAACACTGAGGCTCTCAAAGACCGAGCAGCCATCAAACGAGAGTTTTTGCCAAACCAACACGGCCGTGCTAAAAACAACCGGCTATGTATGGGGCACTTCCGCTTCCTAGTAGATACGCCGGTCGCATTGGCCGCGTTTCGGGAAGAATATGGCGTTCCCGCTGACGTACACCTCGAGCTCAGCGAGGAGGACACAACCCCTTGGGGCAGACTAGACCAGTGCCCTTTCACCGTTCTTTCTATTATCGAAGGCGGCCTTCACTTCCCGGTCAATCCCTTCATGTGCGAGTTCTTGAGGCGCACCGGGCTAGCACCAACGCAAGTCTCCACCAACACTTATAGGATAATTAATGGGATAGCCGAGCTGAACAATTAGCTAGGAACCAGCTTAGGACTAGCCGAGATACTTCGCCAGTATACCCTCGGGCATACAGGCGACGACCTTGCCTATTATTTAAAGATCAGACTGGGCAAGGAGAAGATAGTGACCGGTACCTCGGACAAAGACATGCACGACGACGATTTTTTCTGGGTGTCTGGAAACTATGAAATAGCCGACGTGCCCGGCTGGTACATCAGCAAGAACTTCAGTTCAACATGTAAGCCGTTCTAACTGCTCGGTCAAATTATTTTCTTTCACTATTCTGTACTAATGCTCTCTTCTTCTTTTCCTCTTTGCAGCCATCGAAGCTTTGCAGGCCAACTATTATAACCCCAACGAAGCAGCCATCAGAACCGTGCTCCGGTACCGCGACCGGGATTGTCACGAACTTCTTGGCTACGTACCGACCTACAGATACTCCGCTCCCTGCCAAAGTAAAGTAACTGACTTTCTTCGAGCGCCGTCTCTACCGCCCGATCTAACACTACCGGACGTGCCCCTTATCCGGCTAACTGAAGGAGAAGAAATGGCCAAACGGAGTCGCATCAAAAACCTCATCACCGCTACATCCACCGAGTTGCCGAGCATCCCTACCCGCGCAGTTGCTGCCGGTCAAACAAGTGGGGCCGTGGTTGCGTTGGTGTCAACTGCTGCGGCGCAGACTAGTAAGGACACCTGTCGAGCTGGAAAAAGGCCTCGAACCGCCGATCCCACAACCGAGCTTGTTGCGGAGCTGAACACCGTGCAACCTGCGGTCGCCTCTACGCCAACTCCGCCTTGGACACCCCAGTTGAAGCATTGGGTTAAGGAAATCCCGCCAATTGCTTGGGTCAAAAGCGACAAGGAACACCTCCTAGCCTTTGACCTGACAAAAGCCCTCTTACTGCCGAGCGACGTGGTCGGCAACAACCACGTGCCCAACACCCGGCTGGTGAAGTCCTCGATCAAGTCTATGACCCGGGTAAGAATTTTGCATGCTTTATTCAAATTTTTTCAAGTGTTTGCTCGGTTCCCTTTTTTTAATCAAACTTTATTCTTGCAGGCCATCCAGAAACAACACCTGGTTATGGAGCGGATTCATAGACTCCGGCAGAAGGCAACCAACGTTGCTAGTCAGGTTGAGCACCTTCAGACTGAGTTGGGGCGGTCGAAGGCCTCCTTAGAGATAGCAAATACCGACAACTCCAAACTGCTCGGCCAACTTGGAGCCGCCGAGAAAGAAAGGGACGCTCTCCGTGCCAAGCTGGAAGTGTTGAAACAAACGAGGAAGGATAAACTAGATGATGCAAACAATGAAGGTTTCAAGGAGGCCGAGGAAAACTACACCAAGCAAGTTCATGCCACCCAGGACATTTTCTTCAAGGCCGGCTGGAAGGCTGCTTACAAACAGCTCGGCCAAGGATCTGGAACCAACATGTTTGTCTCTCCCCCTGCTGCCTTCCTGCCGACGTACATGGTGCCATACGCCAGCGATGTCTTCAGCGCATTGTAGGCTGAGGCCGAGAAAGAAGGCGCGGAGGAAGCCGAGGAAAATGCCGAGGGAGATAACCGCCCAAAGCAGGCCGGCCAAGTTGAGACCGGCGTCCAAGAAACCACAACCACGGTCGACCTGGAGGCAACTGCAATCGGGGATGACTTCGCCGACCTATCTCCCTTAGTTTAGTTTTCTTTTTTACTTTTAAGAATGTAACTGGGCTGCCTGCCCTGCCTTATGTAATTCGGTTTTACATCAATGAAAAGTTTTGATTTCTTCAACTGTTACATTGCTTGTTGGACTGTGTTTTGTCATCTTGGCAGGAACCTTTAAACCAAACATCAACAACTTTAGTCGGGGCAAAGCACCTCGGCTAAATCTTTTGAGTGGGACAAATCACCAACCCCTTTATCCAGGACAAAGCATCTCGGCTAAAGCTTTAAGTAAATCAACTCATTTAACCGGAGTAAAGCCTCTCGGTTGATATCATAGAGTTGAGTAAATCTTCAACTCATTCAACCGGAATAAAACATCTTAGTTTAAGCTAAGTAAATTATTAACTCATTCAACCGGAGTAAAACATCTTGAAATCACAGAGTTGAGTAAATCATCAACTCATTCAACCAGACTAAAACATCTCGGTTG